ATTGTTTCTGCCGCTCCTTCCTCCTCAGGGAGAGGACTCCTCACACTCTTCCCCTGCTCCAGTGTGGGGTCCCTCCCACAGGAGACAGTCCTCCACAAACTTCTCCAATGTGAGTCCTTCCCACAGGCTACAGTTCTTCACGAACTGCTCCAGCATGGGTCCTTTTCCACGGGGTGCAGTCCTTCAGGAAGAGACTGCTGCAGCATGGGTCCCCCACGGGTCCACAGGTCCTGCCAGCAAACCTGCTCCAGCGTGGGCTCCTCTCTCTCCATGGGTCCACAGGTCCTGCCAGGAGCCTGCTTCAGCATGGGCTTCCCATGGGGTCACAGCCTCCTTCGGGCATATCCACCTGTTCTGTCATGGGGTCCTCCACAGGCTGCAGGTGGATATCTGCTCCACTGTGGACCTCCATGGGCTGCAGGGGGACAGCCTGCCTCACCATGGTCTTCACCAGGGGCTGCAAGGGGAATCTCTGCTCTGGTGCCTGGAGCACCTCCTCCCCCTCCTTCTTCACTGACCTTGGTGTCTGCAGAGTTGTTCCTCTCACATATTCTCACTCCTCTCTCTGACTGCAAATGCGCAGGTTTGTTTCCCTCCCTTCTTCAATATGTTATCACAGAGGCACTACCAGCATTGCTGATTGGCTCGGCCTTGGCCAGTGGTGGTTCCGTCTTGGAGCTGGCTGGCATTGGCTCTATTGGACATAGGGGAAGCTTCTAGCAGCTTCTCACAGAAGCCACCCCTGTAGCCCCTCTGCTACCAAAACCTTGCCATGCAAACCCAATACCCTGGGCAAAGTTCCACCCTTATTCATTAGTGAGTCTATACCATTCCTCTGCTGTTAGGGGACAAAATTTCTTGTGCAAGTAAGAAGTTAGGTGGATTTTTATGAAGCTCTGTCTTCTCTTTCCAGGGCAGAGTTTATACCATAAGGGTGTCTGAATATTCTGTCTGAGGAAAGAATTAATAAGTGGTACTTATACTCTGCCATGCCTCCTTCATTTATACTCAAAAGAAAATGCTACATGTAAGACATTTCTACAGCAAATTTCAAAAAACTTTCAGGGGATTTCTTAGTCAACCCTTCTGATTTTAAGAAATGCA